CTGGGTGTGGAATATGGGGTGGGCAGTTGTTTTCTTTCTGCACTTGAAAGTCCTTAGTCCATCGCTCTCTTGTCAAGTTTCTGAGGGGACTTTATGGGCTTTGTCACCGTTCCTGTGTATGTAAGACATTTTCCCTTCTCTAGCTGCCTTTAGGATTTTTCTCTTTACCTTTGACGGCTTGAACATGATGTCTGGTCTTGTTTTGGGGGTATTTATCCTGTTTAGTGTTTTCAGAGTTTCTAAATTTGGAGTTTGCTGTCTTGTTACTAATTTTGTGAAACTCTTGGCCATTTGGATATTTCTTTCGTTCCGTTCTCTCCTGAACTTCTGAGAATGTGTATGTAGCAGTGTTTATTTTCCCATAGCTTTTGGATGTCCTCCAAGTAGGAAAATTTGTCTTCCCCTTGAGTCCTCAGCTTGGATTATTTTTACTAGACTGTTTTGAAGTTCACTGGATCTTTTTCCAGTTGTTTCAAGTCTGCTCTTTCCGTATCTATATAATTATCTATGGAAGGCATGTGTGATCTGTTACTGTGTTCTTATTTCTAGCGTTTCCACCCCACTCTTTCTTATGATTTCCATTTCTCTTTGAAATTACCCGTCTGGTCTCACATGCTGTCTGCCTTTTCCATTAGAGTCTTTGATTATCCATCATGCTTTAAATTCCTGATGGCGTCAGAACTTGTCATGTGTGACTCTGGCTCTGCTGATTGCCTTGTCTCTTCAGGGTATTTTTACTACTGCCTTTAGAAGGCTTCATAATGTTTTTGTCGAAAGGTGTATGTTTTGTATGCAACAGGAGAAACTGAGGTTGGCATTTAAAATTGATACATTTGACTGTGTTTCCTTCTCCTAGTCCTTTAGGGTGGGGATTTGTGTTGATCTATTCAGGGATTCTGCTGTGTTTGATGTTTATTATCACTATGGTTACTGGAGTTGACATTTGTTGTTGCCATGGAGACCAGAGGCTTCAGATTTCCCTAGTAATACCTTGTTCCTTGTCTGAGTTTTCCTGGTAGGCTGTTTCTCAGAGGGGGTCGGTCTCTTGCACTCTCCCACCGTCTCCCATTGTTCAAGATTGTTCCTGGTAGTGAGGGTGACAGGAGCTCTGTGACTTCTGATCAAGCATCAGATTTGTGGGAGCACTAGGTCTTGGGGTGTGGCCTTCACAAGACCCTGTGCCCTTCACCTGCTTTCTTTTCCCCTAATGGCAGTTCACTAGGTGTCCTCAGCCTGTCTCTGCAGCCTTCCCCACACACTGAGGTGGGTGTACCTTCAGGGAGAGAGTGGAGGTGGGTGAAGATAAGGTGTGGGCCTCCTTCCCCTTCCTCTTCCTCTAGTGGAATTCTCTCAGCGCAGGGTGCTGGCCATGGTTAGTCTCTCCCTGCAGATTAACCGTTTTGTTCCACGGGGAGATGGGGGAGATGAAGGAGATGGGGAAGTGCATCTGGAATGGTCTGATATTGGCTGCTCTTCCTTCCCCAGGCTCCTCAGGGCTGGAGAGAGGCTTTCTCCCTCCTGTCCCCTGCTTCAGAGAGCCTTTTTAGGTTCCTGGAGGAAAAGTCCACAAAGGATGGGCACTCTCCCCGATTGCAGCCCCAGGGCTGACTCAGATGCCAGCCCTGAGTCTGCAGCAGTTTGTCAAGGTCTCTGGTTCTTCTTCCTAACTGCAATGGGATGGATGCCTGGATACTCCTAGGACTGTTTCCTTTGGTCAGAGAGGAAGCTCTTAGGTGTCTTTTCAGCCTCAGCTATTGTCCCTTCCCTGCTGAAAAGGTTAAGACGGAAGAAAATAGGAAAAAAAGAAAACAGAGAGAAAAATGTGCCTCCTCCCCCCGGGCTGAGCCTTAGAGATCCACCTTGTGGCCAGAGAGCGCACTCCAGCCTTTCAGCCTCTCAGAGATCTGTGAGACTCGCCCCAGGGTTCAGCATATGGTCAATTTTTGTAAATGATCTCATTGTGCTTCAAAGCGCATTTATTCTACAGTTGTTGGGTGCTGTGTTTTATGTTAATGTCTATTTAGGTCCAGTTTATTGATCATGATCTATTAATTACTGAGAATTGTTAAAAAACTTTCACATGACTATGGAGTTTTTAAATTTGTCTTTGTAAATCTCTAAGTGTTGCTTTGTATAATTGGAGTGATGTTATTACATACATAACTAATTTGAAACGATATTTTCCTGATGAATTATACCTTGAATCCTGTGAATTATCTCTCTCTTGCTCTTTGAGTATTATAGCTAGAACAGCTTTCTTTTAGTTTGTATGATTTTTTTCCTATACTTGTACTCTTTGCTATTTTCTCTGGTTATATTTTAAGCATTATCCTTGTTCTTTTCATTTAGTATAATTTTTGTCTTTTGGACCAGTTGCATTTAATTGGTATATTTGAATTTGTCTGACATATTGTTATGTTTTATGCATTTTACTTGTTCTATGATCTTGCTTTTTCTCCTAATATTTATTTGGATGTGAGAAAAATTTGAGTATTTAAATTCTGTTTTTCCTTTCTATTAGTGTAGTAGTTCTCTCTCTGGGGTAATATAATAATCGGTCACCTTCAGGATGAAATAGTCTGAGCACGTATATTCAGTATGTACTAACTTTTAAAAACTATGGTAATATATATTAATTTCATTTTATATATCTCTCGATGTCAGAAGCAGTATCTTTCTCTCTGAGTTGGGACAAGCTGGATAAGCTGGATAATTTTTTAGTGTAAACTAATCATGTGCTGACAGATGGAAAAAGCCTCTGACACTTAAAAATAAAAAAAAGAAAAACCTACAAGAAGGTATAAAAGGATTGGATTGATTTATAAATCATCTCTGAAAAGAAAAAAATTTTGACAGCATGAAAATACACCATGAATAAGAAACACTGGTCATAAGAGGATGTTTACTAAGGACTTTAGGAAAAGGGATTTCAGAGGAATCTAAGGGAAGATAGATAAGCTTTCTTAGGTAATTAAAATTTTTCCATTTTATCCTGGCTTGTGAGAGGTGAGAGAACAGAAAAATGAAATTTTATAGTTGTGAACTCTTGGGCCAGGAGGGGGAAATGGTGGAGAAATATTAAAACAAGCAACGCACCGGCATGATCCTTTGAGCTCCTGTAAGTCTCAGGAACTAGGTCCGTCTGTAAGACTGGGTGGGGGGAAGAAGCCCTCACCAGGCGTGGGGAACCCAGGAGGTTTGCTGAAGAAAACAGTTGGGGGGGATTTTGAGCTAGTGAAGTCTGCCTGGTGTTTTTACTGTTGAAGTCAGATGCAGGAGGCCCAACTGGATGGTTGCTTTGCTAAGTAAATCTCTATCTGATAAGTACAATATCATTGTGTATAACAAGATCAGTTTTATCTAATCTTTTAAAAACTTGGATCAGGGTGATGCAGGAGCTCCCATTGGCTCCTCTGTACCTTTTGCCCGTTGACTCCTCTCCGTTTGCCTTCCAATCACCCACTCCCAGCCATATCTCTGGGTTCAGCTCATCCTCATCACCTTTTTCTAAGTTGTTATTAATTCCCTTACCTAATTTCTCTGTTTATGGTCATTCCCTCTTCTTGCATCTCTCCCGTGCCATTGGATTATTAGTCCTAAAACACCCTTATAGCCTCAAAATCTTATAGCAGCTCTTTATTGTCTATGATGTTAAGTAAAGTTTTTCATCACTAGACCTCTTTTGGCCTTAAGATTCTCAGCTGTGAATTGGGGGTAGTGACCTTACCCTCCTCTGGCAGGGTGTGTGAGGGCTGGAGGTAAGGCGCTTGTCACCTTGGTGCATTTTATTGCCTGACATATGCAGGCTCTCAGATAATTATTCCGACATTTAAAGCCCTCCTTTAACTTTTCAGCCTTACCCATTGAATTTTCTTTCCTCTACTATAAACTGGGCACCCCCAGTAGGTCCTGTAGCCTCTCCACTGGCCCCAGATATGCCGTGTGTTTCACTTTCTGGCTGGACGTCTTGGCCCACATCCTGCTGCTGCTTCATCTGTCCTCTCAGCCTCCAGAGCTCAGTCACAGCCTCCTCTTTCCTCAGGCTGTCCCCGACACATCCAGTCCTAACTGATCTTCCGACTTCTGATGATACTCGTCGTCCTCCCCACACTTCAGCTCCGAACTATGCTGTTAGAAACTAGTTTGCCAAGAAAGTTCAATTTTGGTGCCTTTTGATTCTTACTTGTACACGTAGGGTTTTTTGTTTGTTTGTTTGTTTTTAATATTCTTTTTTTTAAATGTAGGTTTTAAAAATTGCCTTTGAATAAAAATTACAGATACAGTGTTAGAAGTTGCTTGAAAACAATCTCTCTTGAGTTGTGTTTTCGTATACTTGTTTTGTATTGCATGTTACTTTAAGGTTAGAACTAGTAGAATGTCCATTTCTTGTACAGTTATGATAGTGTAAAAATATTCAGTGCAAACTACAACATTGGTCACTTTTTCTTTTTTAAGTGCTCACAGATTAATAATCTTTTTTTCCAAAATCTTTTTTTGGGGGATGGGGGATACCAGTGGCACTTTATTACTAAGCCACATCCCCAGCCCTTTTTATTTTTTGTATGGAGACAGTGTCTTGCTAAGTTGCTAAGGGCCTCAAATTGAGTTGCTGTGTCTGGTCTCAAATTTATGAGCCTCCTGCCTCAGCCTCCTGAATCACTGGGATTATAGGCATACACTACTGTGCCCCCTGAAAAATCTTTTTTTCTTGATTATATTTTTGAAAAATTAGAAAACACCTAGAAGCGCTAGCAAAAAATTACCCTACTTCTTTTTACCAGTGCAAGATAAGGACCATTAACATTTTTGTTGTATGTTCTTTAATTTTTTTTCTGTAATAGGTGAGTTTCCTCCTCTGAGTTTCTCACTTTGTAATTCTTCCTGCTTTACTGTGTGCATGTATGAATATGTAAAAACAAATCCCAACCCCATTATGTCCAACTATAATGCCCCAATAAAAAATATGGAAAAATATATAATTCTTAATGCTTGTTTTTCAGCTTTTCCTGACAGGATTCCTGTACACCCTGGAAGTGCTTGAGGAAGAGTGATGAAGGCAAGTATTGAGTCTGTTCTAGTCAGTGCAGTTCACTTGGAAAGGAAAACTAGAATAAAAAGACAAAGGTCATTGGGTGTGTAATGGGGGGTGGTTGGTGGAGTGCTCTCCAAAACATTTGTAACAACCTTTTCACTTATATTGACTCAGAGTAACTTGTTTCCTGTTAACTAACAGCTTGTTATGTTTTTAGTAAAACTGTGGTGGAAAGATTAATTGTTGGACATTCTGAGAGTTTAACAAAACTATCTGAGGAGCCTGGTCAAGGGTAACTGCCATTGCCTCGTCCCTTCCCAACTTTCACTCCTTCCTCTTCACCCCTTTCTCTCGAGTTGCTTTGTTTCCTTTCCCCCTTTTCCACTTCCTGTGGTTTACGTAAAAGCACTTCATTTTTTAGAAAGTCTGCGTGAATCAAGGAGGAGCCAACATTTCCTGTTTCCCTCTTTTTAAAACTACAGTTGGCTTTGCACAGTTGAACTTGAGCTGGGATCTAATACAGATAATTGGGGAGTTTTATAAACTCAGAAGAAAATAGGGAAGCACTAAAAAACTTTGAGGTTATTGAATTTCTTTCATGCTTGCATTCTTACAATATCAGCAGTTCTATAGCCATAATTATTACACTGTTATCTCATGTGGTTCTGCTAATAACATTTGACTTTCCTTAATATCTGGCGTACATTGAAAGGGTCCCTAAAGGCTTTTTGTATAGAAAATTTAAGGAATCTTCAAAACGGTGGCCATGTTTCTTGTTGGTGCTGATAGCACAGCAGTAATGCAGATTATAGCTACAAGTGTAAGTACCAGATGACATTTTATAATCAGAGTTATAGGTTGTTTTTCCAAATTTTTATCTGGTAACTTAATGCTTAGAGCTCACTAAGGTACGTTAGTAACATTAAGATAAGTCAAGCCTTCGGAAATCCTGAAATCCATCATACTCTGCGACCTAATCCTTGCAGCTGGGAAGAGAGCCTTGGTTAGAAGCCTTAGCCCTGCAAGACTCAGCTTAGAAATTGACGCCACTTCAGGTTTTCCCAGAGAATGCTAATATTTCCTTGTCATCAGTCATCATTGCAGATTATTTGAAAATAAATAATAGACACATGCTAGTGATGAAATCTCAGACAAAATTAGTGACATTTAAAATGTACCATATTGTCCGTGTTTTAAATAGGAGAGAAACAGATGGTCACTTGATTAGTTTATAACACTGCCCAAAGAAAGATTTGTTGGATAATAATTTCCTAATACCTATATTTATGAGACAAATAGGTCATTTAGTTTTTCAGCTAACCTTGACATTCTTTTATTCGTGGTTTCCTTTAATCTCAGGGGATAAATTTACTTTATACATTTTACTTAACAGTAACAACAAAAAAATGAGTTGTCATATTAGCTAATGCAGCGCAAATAAGGGAAAACTAGGCCACCTCTTCACTGTCAGCCTGCAGCTCTGACGTCCTGCCATGTTTTCAGAGTCTAGGTGGCGACTGTGCAGAGATTAGTTGGTGTCCACTGTTACTGGATTATCTTGGCTCCACAGCCTTTTCCTCTCAGGAGATTACAAATAATTCAATAACTATTAGTCTGCCAGACAAACTCCCAAGGAAGGGGAAGATAATTAAATACATACATTATGGGCAAAACTTTTGCCCAGAAGGAGCCCACCCAAAAAACTGCACCAGAGCCCAGGACATTCATTAATCTAATTAAGAGTTAAGGGGTTTTTTTCTGGGCTGTCCCAAAGGGACAGAGAAAAGGCAAATAGGCAATCAGGGAAAGGATCAGAGGCCACAGGAGGATGGCAAGATTTCAGTGGCACCTCAAAGAATTTGAGCGAAAGGCAGTGAAATTTCCTATTATTGCTGTTCTGCATTTGCTTTTTTTTTTTTTAAGACGCAAAGAATTTTATGGTATTTAGAAAGCAGGAAGGTACAGGTGAGAGACCAGTGTCTTTAACGCTGTCGCCCTGTTTGTGCTCCTGAGAGGTAAAAAGTCAGGATGAGGAAATGGGCATGAATGAACAGGGACAGTGGAGTCCCCGTGACAGTGTCCATGCAATAGGCCAAGAAGGTCTTTTTGAGTAGTCACTAGGAAGAAACCTCTAGAGAGTTTGAATTCATTCGCAGCAAACCCTGACATCCAGCTAATTTATAGCTCCTAGAGAGCCACTTGGGGAAAAGGTGACTGCATGTCCCCAAAATGTGATCCACACACTGCTTCATTGGTATGACTTAGTACCTGGGAATGTAGACAGCTTAAAAGACTTCTAAATCAAAGGTTGAGAGAAAATCTGGGTATAAAGAACTTCCTGTATCATGTTTTGGCCTCACCAGCAGCTTCTGTGAGTTTATGCAATTGTATATTTTTACAAACTCAATTAAAAAAATAAACACTTTCTACTAAGGAGAAATCTCATCCCTCCCCCCAATCCCCTTCAGCATGTGATCTCAGTAACCATGGCAATGATGCTGACTTGACTTCTCTTGGTTTCTGCTTCCTTTTAACTTTCTGCATCTAACACTGGTGTATGGTTGCTGTTTGACCTCTCCTTTTCTGTCCTTCCATCACGCCCAGTTACTGTGTGACGTCTTTGCCTTTGAATTTGTGTAGATACACAGGACGCCTCTGTCAGGCATGGTACTGTTGAGAAGGGGATTGTCTTTGTGTCTCCTTTCTTGAAAGCTGCTACTGGGCAAAGCTCTAGTCTCTCTGAAGACTGTTTCTGTCTGGCCTGTTTGTCCACACGGTGCCAGAAAGGTCATTTGTGCTTCAGCAGAGACTTCAGCCTATAAGATTTTTATTCCTGTTGTCCTCTCAAAAGAGCAAGCCTGTCATCTCTGATTACCAGTAAGCTTGATGAATGAATGGTAACAACAGATTCCTGTATTCCATTGCAATCCACGGATCTTAGACTTGGATATTCACTTCTCACTATTATTCTTTGAATTTACTGAGTTTCAGCATGTGGATAATTAACTGTAGTTTTGAATGACAGGAATTAAATTGTTGCATCCAGAATAAGCTTTGGACAGCTTTTGTCTTAATCTCCTAAGCAGCCACTGTTCTGTCAGCTACTACTGTGTCCATTCCAAGATGGTGAATCTGCTGTGGGATTCTTCACATATTGAAACATTTTTTAAAAATGTTGCTGTTTTCATTTCCTGTGTATTTGTTCTGGGCTTTCCCCCCCCCTTTCTAGAAAATAGTCATTATTCACTATCTAGAAAACTATCTTTTAATCTTTTGATTAAAGATTGCTTGATGATAGTGCCTATTTGTTTGGTTAATGGCATGTTTCTCTTTAACACTGGAGTTTCTGCATGAACTTATGATATAAGGTTCTTTTCTTTTTCTTTCTTTCTTTCTTTTTTTTTTTTCTTAACATTAGATAGGCATGAAGCCTCCGTCTCACAGCTGCATGCATAGTCGCTGTTGAAGCAAATGCCTACCTAATCTGACAGTCTTGGTGTGTTTAAAATTTTTTGAGTTTGCAAATAAGCTTATTAAGTCTACTGATGGAGCCTTCGGGCAGTGAACAGTTATATGAGGACCCTGATCCTGGAGGCAAATCCCAAGATGCAGAGGCCAGAAAGCAGACAGAATCTGAACAAAAGTTATCTAAAATGACCCACAATGCTTTGGAGAACATTAATGTGATTGGCCAAGGCTTGAAGCATCTCTTCCAGCACCAGCGCAGGAGGTCATCAGTGTCTCCACATGATGTGCAGCAGATTCAGACTGATCCAGAACCCGAGGTGGATCTGGAGAGCCAGAACGCATGTGCTGAGATTGATGGTGTCCCCACCCACCCCACAGCTCTGAATCGGGTTCTGCAGCAGATCCGAGTGCCACCCAAGATGAAGAGAGGAACGAGCTTGCATAGTAGGCGGGGCAAGCCAGAGGCCCCAAAAGGAAGTCCGCAGATCAACAGGAAGTCTGGCCAGGAGATGACCGCTGTTCTGCAGGCAGGCCGACCCAGGTCTTCCTCCACGACCGATGCTCCCACCAGCTCCGCCATGATGGAGATCGCTTGTGCGGCTGCGGCGTGTCTCCCAGGAGACGAGGCATCCTTGGAGCGGGTAAGTCCTCAGATTTCCTTTTTCTTGTAGCCTTGTGTGTGTGTGCACAGCCTCAAGACAGGTGTTGGGTTGATTTTCTGGCGTATCCATTGTGTGGAAAGCCACCTCCTGGTGCCTCACTGTGCTTGACTTTGGGTTATGGAAATAGACGTAGGGCAGCAAGACAGGATGTCTAATTGGAAACTGCGCATGGATGGGTTTTTGAAATGGGGTAAGCTTTCATCAGTCATTCACTAGTACTTGTTAATACCTGCTGTGTACAAGGTGATGGTCCAGGTAGTTAGGGGACATCAGGAGACACAACAAAGGTTTCTGCCCTGCGGCTTGCTTTGTATTGGGGGAGACAGCGCCCCAGGGAGAGGAGGTGGATACTGTGATCAGCACTGTGGGGAAGAAATAGAACAGGAGAAGAGATGAGGAGTGTGGGCCTCACTGAGAAGAGGACACTTGAGGGAAGGCCTGCAGAGATGTGGCCACCGGGTACTAGCGCTCCAGGCAGGTGAAGCAGTCCGGGGGCGGGACTGCTTGAGTTGTCAAGGAATAGTGAGGAGGCTGGTGTGGGAAAGCCGAGTGTGTGGATGTGCAGTCATAAGAGAGGAGGCCAGGGGGGTCACAGGTAGGGCTTTGTAGGGTTAGTGAGGCCTTTGTATGCCCAGTGAGATGCGGCGCCATTGAGGACTCTGAGCATGAGAGGGTGTGGTCTGACTCATATTTCTAAAGGCATCTGTCTGGTTTCGGTGTGGACAGACTGCAGCAGGTCAGGGTGGGAGCCAGGAGAGCAGTAAGGGGTCTGCAATAGTCTTGGCAAGAGATGGCGTGACTGAAACCAGAGTTTTAGAGCAGTTGGGACTGTGGATGTAGCACAGTGATCGAGTGCTTTCCAGCATGTGCAAGGTCCTGGGTTTAGTCCCCAGCGC